AGAGAGAGAGAGAGAGAGAGAGAGAGAGAGAGAGAGAGAGAGAGAGAGAACTGAACAGAGTGTCACACAGGCTAGGCAAGAGTTCTGCCCCTGAGATATTCCCAGTCATTTTTCTTAAGCAAAGTCAGCAGAAGGACTGACTCCTCGGGCCATACTTTAGCCCCATTTCACAAGGGCAGGACATCAGACTGAAGTTCAGGACAAAAGGCAAGCTAGTGATTCATAGGATGGACTAACTAAAAGTATTTTCTATGTTTTGAGAAGAGCTCTTAGGGTCCTGGTAGCTGTGGGTAACACATCAAAGAAATACACACCAAGGAGTTACTTACGTTGAACTAGAAGACAAATTAACACACGCGTCCACAGTGGCTTCCCTTATTGCCTTTTTGAAGGCAGGCACTTGGATGAAGAACAAGGAACCACAGACATAGAACACCGGCTAGTAGGCCCAAAAGAAATGGAAAACTGTTTGTCTTGAGGGAAACCATTTGGTATTTATATTTGAGGAAAGTTCCACGGCGTGCTGAAAGTTTTCGGTTTCCATCTAACTATTGGAATGTTTAGCATGGGTTGGTTGGTTCTGTGCTTAGGCACCTTAATGTCTGCCGGCAGCCCCGTGAGAACAGAGATGAAAGACGGCAGAGAGGAAGCCACAGATTTAATGGATACTCGAAAGCTGGCACCGCCTGCTCTTCAGAGGACCAAATTATTTTCAGCGTAACTCTAACGTATTATTTATCGTTCATGACCACTACTGGCGTGCTTCTGGTGTATCTTCTGAAATTACGACTGATCGCATTTTTGGGTGCCTGTGGCAGAGGGTCCATCTTGATTGCAGTACAGCAGTAGTCCCCATTGCTGCATGGCTTTTTCACCCGCTCGCCGGATTTGCAGTGTTTCCTGCAGTGTCCTCTTATGACCCAGCAAGCTTTGCGGCACCTGTAGACTGACAAGAGTAAAGAAGGGCTGTAAATTCAAGATTCGGGGCCTCATCTGAAGGAGTTCCTTCAGCTATCTCCACAAGAGCCCAGACTCATTGAAAGGTGATTATGCAAGCAAAGCAAAGAAAGAGTCAACTGTGCCATGTTCTCGAAGATCTTACTATCTTCCTACCAATGCCAAAGGAACTCACTAGCTGACAGGAACTGGGATTATCAGAAGCTGTGTGATTTTGTAAATAAATTAGGTGCACAACAGGCTAACTTAACTCCGTGCCAGCTCAGTTATTATTCCCAAAGATACAAAATTCTAACTCCAACAGGCCTTACGATTGTCATCAGAAATTTATTAATAACCTTTGCTTCACGAAGAAGGAAGCTCTTGGAGGCAATGAGTGGGCTTATGATGGTTCTGCAGTACCATAATGAATGAAAATGGTCCCCTGTAGACTCATATATTTGAATGCTTGGCTCCCTGTTGGTGGAACTATTTGGGAAGGACTAGGAGGTGTGGCCTCGTTGGAGGAGGTGTGTCATTGAGGGGTGGGCTTTGA